ATTCTTGCTTCGCAAATAAGATAATACCGCTAAGGCGATTTGGAATGCAACTACAAAAAAAATCTCTGTTATCGTTTTTAAAGATAACAACACACAAGCGTGGATATGGGTCGCTATACTCAAATGCTTTCTACTGTTACACTGAATAAACCCTACAAGTTTGATCCCATAGTTCTGAAACACCCTGTACACATTTCCAGCAAGACGGCGCTCCTCCTCACTATATTCTTCCGGTTCGGTAATGGCTAGACGGAGTTCCGTAAAATGGATGGAAGAGGGCCTATAGAATGGCTGCTAGATCTCCTGATTTGACGCCATTAGACTTTTTTCAATTGGGCCATTTGAAATCTATTGTGCTTACTCCCAACCTTATATCATTGTTTTGGCAAGAACTGGGCATTTTGAACACTTATTGAAACAAAGAGTGATACTTTCGTGTATTTTTGTCTCCTATCGGAACATGTTGAGATGAATAAAAATTTTTCTAATTTTTGAAACGAATAGAAAAAACCAACCTCAAAAAGGACTTCGAGATCTTTCAATCAAGCTATTACTGGATACGCCTTGTCATTTAAAATGTTTGAGGGGATGACCCTGGGGAGCAGAGAGTGAAAGGGGTTGAGGTAGTTTTTGGTTAAAAAGTTGTCCCCCTAGACAAATCTTTTGACGTGTCTCGGAGTTTTTTCTTTTAATCAATGGTTTTCGATAAATCCGTGGTGGGAAGATTTAAATGAACACTCTGTATATTATATACTAAGTGACGTATAAATCCGAACAACCAGTTAATGATTTTATTTTAATAAAATTTTGTATAAGTACTAGTAACTAATAAGAAGAAAATGATAAAAATTTCAAAATGATTGCACTGCTTTAAAGCCCTTTGACCTTTAATAATGTGTGGATGCACCCTGATGTGCTACGCATTCTCCAACGCGCCTAGGCATGCTTCTGATCAGGTGGTCAATGTCCTCCTGTGGTATCTCATTCCACAACCACCAACCCTCTCGAAGTGCTTCTAGAGTCTGAGGAGGAGTTGCAAATTGAGCAATCTCCTACCCATCATATCCCACACGTGCTCAATTGGGGATAAGTCGGGAGATCTTGGTGGCCATGGTAACAAAAGAAGTCTATTGTGACTCTTGCAACATGTGGTCGGGCATTATCTTGTTGGAAAGTTGGATATGCCAGGGTGTCAAGATAGGGTAAAAGATGGGGTTCTAGAACTTCGTGGATATAACGCTGCGCGTTCATGTTACCTCTGATGAAGATTAAAGGTAACCTGGAACCATAAGCTATAGCACCCCAAACCATACTCCAACAGTGGGTGATGAACTGTCTTTCAACAAAAAACTGTGGATTCCTCCTTTCACCACTCGCCTTCTAACCCTGGCACGACCATGGTGCATGCCTAAACAAATCGATACTCGTCACTAAAGACAATACTGTTCCATTCCTGATCCCAGAGTGACCGTTGTCTGCACCACTCAAGGCGATACGTCGGTTGTTCTCGATGTAAAGGGAGGACCAGTGTGGCCGGTATGAAAACAAGCCAAAACTTCTCATTCGTCGGTAAACACTTCGCATGCCAATAGGTCTTCCGTGTTCTGCAAACCATTCATTTGCAATGGACCTGGTAGTGGAGAAACGGTCCCTTAAGCCAATAATCTTAGGCGGCGATCTTCACGGTCTGTTGTTTCTACGGCGGCGTCCAGTGCCCCTTGCTCTTTGCGTACGGCCTTCTCGAAGCCATGCCTGACAACACCTAACCACAGTGTCTACACTTCTTTGCACTCTAAACTGCAATTGCCCGAAAAGAAGTCCAGCTTCCCGAAGTCCCACTATACGGCCCCTATCAAACTCACTAAGTTGACGAGATCGTACAGGTTTCCGTACTCTAGGCATCGTAAACCGATCGTAAGGATGTCAATAACCAAAATCCGCCAACGTTGATTCTTTACTGCGGCTTGAAATATTCATTTTTAGAGCGTTAGTGAATTAAAAAAAAGCAGTATAAGAACCGGAATGTCCAACTGATAAGGCTGAACATTTTTTCACTTGTTATTTACAGTAAGATAAATACATTCACCAACTTTTATTAAAATAAAACCATTTAAACTGGGTGTTCGGATTTATATGTCACTTAGTATATTATAGATATATTTTCAATAAAAAAGGATCTATACAAAGCAATCCTTTTTCAGGGAGGCATGAAGGCCGTTATCATCGCCGATACTTTCCAAGCTGCAGTACTAATTGGTTCGTTGTTCCTAATAGTCTATTTTGGCGAGAATTCCTCGGAGATCGTGGGGTTATTTGGTCGCAGAGTTTCAACAGTGGTCGACTTGAATTATTTGAGTAAGTAGTTCAAATCGATCGAATTCTTTTAATCTAACATAATCTCCATTTTCAGTTTAGATCCAAATCTGACGGTAAGGCACAGTTTCTGGTCTGTCGTCATAGGAGGAACATTTTACTGGATGACGATGTTTGCTCTAACCAAGCCTCGATTCAGAAGTACATGTCCGTTCAAAGCCAGAGTCAAGTGAAAAAGTAGGTAAAATGTGGTTAAGGTACAGTTGTAACTACGTACTGTAATGTGTTTTAATCGCTCAGGGTGCTGGGGTATTGCTAAAACGCTGATGCCTGAATTCTCAAGAATGGTGATTGAATTTAGCACAAGATTACCTGTTTTGTGCTCTTCCTGCTTATTCTTTGATCCAGTGAAGTTGGCAAATGAAATGATGATATATTTTAGCGTATAAATGGCATTTGAAAAATTCTAAGATGGCTAGAGGGAGACATCTTGAACCGGTTTCAAAGGGGAAACGTCAATATAAAAGAAAAGACATAATGTCAGCCAAAACAATGACAGCTGAAGCATCAGGACGTTAGGCAACACGTACAGCTACCGAACGAGTACACATCAAGTGTACAACACCTAGTGCCGAGATGATATCTTGTAGAAAAACCTACGAGTAGATAATGTCACAAAAAACTATGTAATGTCAAAAACGGACATAATGTCACTTTTCAAGATTCGTAATATCCCTGCCGTTTAAAATCTAAAGTAGGGGGACCGTTGAAAAGCATATACTACCAACCTATACAGGGAAAGGGAGACAATTTTTTAAGGAAAAACTACCAAAACGGACGCAGGAAAGTAAACGCATATTAAAACAAGAAGATTGATATTCAAATCAAGTTGGGTACTTTATTTGAAGGTTCATTTATGCCATTTATGTATGAAAAATAATATCGCTCAAATGTTCACCATGACTGGATTTACAGACGTCCACGCGATGGTCGAAATTTTCAATGACATTTTGCAACATGGTCGGTTCTATGGCATTTATCTCGGCAATGATGTTGTTTTGAGTTCTTGGAGGGTGGCTGGTTTGTTGACGTAGACTTTTCTTTCAATATCCCCATAAAAAGGAAGTCGAAGGGAGTCAAATCGCACGATCCTGGTGGCCATGCACATTTCCTCTGCGCGAAATCACGCGATCACCGAAGAAGGACTGCAATCGATGGATATTGACGTTGGTTGTGTGGCATGTTGCACCGTCTTGTTGGAAATAACATCGTCCATATCGATTCCTTCAAGTTGCGGCAAAAAATAGTCCTCTATCATCACGTGATATCGCTCAGAATTGACGGTAACGGCGTCCCCGGCCGCATATTTCGAAAAAGTAAGGTCCGATGATGTCTTTTGACCACAATGCACACCACACAGTCACTTTTGAGGATGCATCGGCTGCTCTTGACACTCACGAGGATTTCGTTCGCCCAGATGCGGCAGTTTTGCTTGTTTACCGTCCCATTCAAAGTGAAATGCGCTTCGTCGCTGAACATGATTTTGATGAAAAATTGGCATCAATTTGGCGGTGTTCAAGGAGCCAATCTGAGAACGTTCGGCGCGAAAAAATGGTCGGCCCGACGCAGCTCTTGCGTCAATTGGATCTTGTAGGCGTGTACATTCAAATCCTTGTGGAGAATGCGGAGCAAACTGGTTTTCGAAATGCCGAATTCTTGGGATCGACGCGTTGTTGATTGTTTCGGATCGTCTCTCACACTCTCCTTCACAACAGCAATATTTCCGGTGTGCGAACGGTCCTTGGCCGGCAGAGCCTGGCACATTTGCCGCAGAACCTGTTGCTTCGAATTTACGCACCAGACGACCGATGGTTGTTTCGTTTGGGCGGTTGTTGCGACCGAAATGTTCACGAAGCGCGCGAAACGTGTTTTTTATTTTTGCACCATTTTGTAGTGCTCTTGAATAACTTTAATGCGGTCTTCATCGAATACGACTCCATAGCGATCAATGGTAAACATTCAACTAACAAAATGACATGTCGGTGACAGAAAACAAAAATGGCGTCTATGTCAAATTGACGTTTACTTTCCTGCGTCCCTATTGGACAACCCTACTTCCCCCTTTCACCCTCTGCCTCCCAGGGTTATCTCCTTAAAAATTTTAAATGACGAGTAAGAGATTGAAAGGTCTTTTGATTTTTAAAATTGATAGAATCGTTCAGAAAATTAGTAAAAATCTTTATTTATCTTAATTTGTTCAGATGGAAAACTAAAGCACACAAAAAAATCACTTTTTTATTTCAACAAGTGTTCAAAATATTGCGTTAGGGCTTGCCAAATCTACAATTCGTTTATAATTCAAAAGCAGAACATGGTTGATGCCGAATTTTTTTACGTATTTTTCGTCAACACAGATATATTGGGAGAACTGTATCTATTATTAATACTGTATAGTTATTTGTTGCTAAGGGACAGAAAGGATTTATTTGCTGTCAGTTTGTCAGTTACCTCTGTGACAATCTTGGGACAGTGAAAATTAATTTATCGGTTTCAGATTTACTTCCAAAATGGTCTACAGGTCTACACACTAGCCGAAAGAGTGGAAATGATTCTAATTTATGAAATTTTGTTTTGCTAAAATTTTTAATAGAATAATCCTGGGGGGCAGCGGGTGAAAAGGGGGCGAAATAGTTTTTGGTTAAAAAGTTGTCCCCCCTGACACGTCTTCCATCAAATAACACCCTGTACAACAAAACCAAAATGGTCCTAGATTGTTTTATTTTACGGAGTCACCCATTACGCTTAAAATACAATACTGTGGATGGATTTGTTGATTTTTCAGCCCTAATAAACATAATAACGGATAATTGTTGGATCCTTATTTTAGAGCAATTTGGACGTCATGCTTTGGATTAATAATAATATACTCAGTAAATTTCTACACTGGAATGATTATGGTCGCTCACTATAAGGATTGCGATCCCATTAAATCTGGTGAAATAAGGGCAGCTGATGAGATCCTTCCTTTGTATGTCATCTCTACGATGGGTCACCTTAAAGGCGTTACCGGTTTCTTCGTTGCCGGCATTTTCGCTGCTAGTTTGGGGTAAGGAAACCATGTTTATACAATTTTGTGTTCAAGTACATAAAATAGAAGGGTTATGCTGTATTTCTGGTACTCATCCGCGAAATAAAAAAAAATGGGCCCAACACTTAGTGTAGATGTTAATGTTATTTTATATTTGTTGTTGTTACATGCATTGGCTAATTAGCAATAGAAATTAAAAAAAATATTACTTTAAAAAAGAAACATATTTCTTTTGTGGGGCCGTTCAAGTATTACGTAAGCAGATTATATTACAATTATTTGCCCCCCCATCCCCCTTGTCAGCAAAAGTAAGGCAAAGCTCTTTACCCCCCTCCCACCATGCTTACGTAAACATTTGTCAATTAATGTATTTTTTTAATGTTATAATCATAACGTTATAATTATAATTACCATGTTTGTATGAACTTTTTGTTTAAAAAATTACTCAAAGAACCGTCTGTTAAATTTGTGGTACATCAACACAGCTGTAATGAGGCTGCATATCGTTTCCCAAATATTAACGAAATAGTTGTAGAAGTAGTTGAGCTTACACAATGAGATAAGGTCTGTGAACAGACGAACAGACTCGCGGAAAAAAGTCTCATGCGTTTGTGGTCATATTTTTTTCAATCTCGACATTTATCGCGAAATTTAGAAGCTCACATCATTAACACTTGAAGTCCTTGGGTTCCAGGACAGTTGCTTCAGCTCTCAACAGCCTTTCTGCCGTTACTATAACAGGATTTTCTTCACTCCGCTCTTGGGATACATCTGCCTGACAAGAAAGGCGCTTATACAGCGCAACTTTTGTCTGTTCTCTATGGAGCCATAAGTTTTGGACTGGTAAGTATATGATAATGACGACGTACAAACAACAGAAAATTCTACGTTCTAGGTCCAAGTTCAGGCTAAATACTAAAGGTCAAATGAAGGTCAAATGTGTGCTGTAGGGAAACCCTATTAATGTCCCAGAATTAAAAATGAAAGTAAGTAACAAGGATAGGTATGTAGTCAATTTTGACGAGTGATCTTGTATTTGACCTTGAGCTTCACCTTTAATGTCGCTTCAAGGTCAATTTCTTTCAATAGAAACCCGCAGGAACAGTGAGGTTAAAAATCATTTGTAACGAGCACCGGAGTTCCCTCATTAAAATTTACCCAAAGATCTGACCTTACCAGTTATTTTAGTCTATATTCGTGTGAGATTTCCAGAAGTTTTCCTAGCAGCAGACATTTGACATTTGTGCGACTTTTCGTGGTCACTTTGACCTTGAATTCATTAGAACATTTGAAAAAATCCTGCTCCTCAGGATCATGGCATCAAATACCTTGAAATGACCTTGAAGATGACTTTGAAGGTCTAATCCAGGCTCACCGCATATCTGCAAGATTTCTAGAAGTTCTCCTAGCAGCACATAGTTAGCCTTTATTTAACCTATTTGACCTCAGCAGTTATCTTGATCTTGAATTTCAATGCAAATTTCCCGGTCTTTCCGAATGCGGGCTTAAAAAATGTAAGTTCCTATTTGAAAAGAAAGACTTTGAAATTATCTTGAAGGTGAAGTTCAAGGTCAAATTCAGGATTACCTTTCAAAATTTACTAAAGAACTGACCTTGATAGTTATTTTCATCACTAATTCTGTAAGATTCATAGTGTTTTCCTAGCAGCACACATTTGACATACATTTGGCCGTTAGTGACCGGCTTGACCTTGGTCTTCAATTCGCATTTTAACGTTAAATTTTACGCTCTTTCGATTGCCGGCATCAAAAAGAGGGATTTCCATTGAAAACATGTTGTCCTTGAAATGATCCTGAAGGTGAGGATCAAGGTCAAATACAAGATCACTGTACATTCTCTCGTAAAAGTTCAATGTCCTGTTATTTTCATCACTCGTCCTGTGAGATTTATAGATGTTTTCCTAACAGCACACATTTGATCTTCATTTGACCTTTATTAGTAATCCTGGCCTTGAACATAGAATGTGTTTGAAGGTAAAAGTTTATGTTCCTTTAATTGCCGAATCAAAATGGAAAAAAATAAAGTTGAACATGAATTAACCTTGAAGGTGAAGGTCAATGTCAAATTCAAATCACCGTTGAATTCCTTGCTTAAAGCTACTGAAGTGTCTTTAATTTTCCCAAAAATGCCATCGATACAAAAATTGTCTTAAGGCTGCTATCGATAATGCTTGTGCTTCGATTTGCAATGTCAATATATGAATCCATTTCGTGCGATGAATCGGAGAATTGCATAAATTCATCGCACCTTGTAATGGGTTATATCATTGATCATGATGATTGTAGTAGTAGTGGCGGTAACTGATTGAATAAATGATTTCCAATGATGCGATGTACCTATGTTGATCTTGCACCGATCTGGTGCGTGATCTAGACAACACACAACACATCATCCATGGCTCGGAATTAATTTCCGACCCGCGAGCCTCGGGTCAAGCGATTAGTAGCTAGACGCACTAACCACTGGACTAGCCAGCTGTCTTCAATTATGATGACTATTATAACACATTGTCTTTTCTATTCAAGGTTTTTGTAATCGCTAACCTGGGCAGCATAATGCAAGTTGCAATCAGTTTCAACGGAATGGTTGGAGGTGTAACCCTAGGACTTTTCTCTTTAGGAATGTTTTTCCCTTGGGCTAATTCAAAGGTAAATATCCGCTTCTTTGCTTTCCGTTATCCGTCTACAAAGACTGAACCTATACCATACTGGTAATTGCCAAAAAGCTTGAAACAACGTGCCAAAGATTGAATGATCTTTGACTGAGACTGAGAATTGGTGATTCTGATGTTCAGGAATCCTCAGAAATATTAACAACTTCAACTAAATTTGCAGGGTGCGATCTTCGGAGCTACGGTGGCTACATGCCTTATCACCTTGATGTGCATAGGGCAACAAGTTGCTATAGCAAATGGGACATTCGAGGAGCAAGTGAAGCCCACAAGCATCGAAAACTGCTGCTGTCTGAATATTACGAAAATAGGGACTAAGGACATTATACCCAACAGGTAAGAAAACATGAGCGAATGATAGATGGACTGGAGGAATTCTGGTAAACTGTCTATGTTAAGCTCAATATGGCATATCCCGAGGATCACCAACTTGGCTCTAATTACTCAGTACATTTCTGAAGTACTGGACGGTCAGGGACAAGTTGATGTCATCTACACAGATATTCAGAAGGCGTTTGATCAAGTTGATCATTATGCACTTCTGGATAAGCTTAAAACAGTCCGGGGTACCTCAAGGGTCAAATCTAGGTCCATTATCGTTTTTGATATTTATTAATGACTTGTCTTTTGAACTGAAGTGTTTCCATTTGTTTTTCGCTGATGACCTTAAAATCTGCACGTCAGTCAAGACAGTCGAGGATTGCGTCATGTCGCAAGATGACTTAGCTCTAATTTCGTCATGGTGTTCACGAAACTGTCTCAGTCTGAATGTTTCAAAACGTAAAGTTATGACTTATACAAGAAAGGTTAACTATTTAATTTATGATAATTATAACATCAATGGTCAGGTTATAGACAGATGCACCTCTTATAGAGATCTTGGAGTCATTTTTGATACCAAGCTAACGTTTACTGAGCATATAAACTGGAAGGGTTTCTCCAATGTTACATACATTAATGACTATATTTTTTACTTTTGTCAGGAGCAAGTTGGAGTATGCGACTCTGATCTGATCTCCTATATACCAACATTCTGTCGTGATCCTTGAGGCCATTCAACGTAAAGCTTTAAAGTATTTTCACGTTAAATGCACAGGTTCTTATCCAGAAAGAGGTTGTGACCATAGTGCCCTATTAGAGTTTTTCAATTCGGATTCACTGTCAACAAGACGAAACATATTTGCTTTGTCATTTTTGTATGGCCTCATTCACAATAAAATTGACTGTCAAATTTACTTGAAAAAATATGTTTCCGCGTTCCAAGACTAGGGAGTCGACAACAAACCGCAGTCTATTGTCAAGCTGGCCGTACAAATGTTATGACAAAATCGCCAATTAATCTCATGTGCTGCGAGTTACTGAATCGGGTGATATTTACAGTGACAGTTGTGCATCAATTATTAACTGCTATAGATCATCCAGTCTTATTTAGAATGTGTGATACTATAGAGTTAAGTCCAAGAACCATGTCTCTTTAATTGTGTTTTCAGCATTTCCTGTAATTGGGTTTCACCTGTTGGAAATAAATAAATAAATAAAATAAATAAAAATATAAACTCTCAAAGCTTTGCAGAGACCAGAGACCGAAGACTCTTCTTCTAAATCGCAATGTGCACATGTGGTACTTATACTAAGTGACAAACCAAATTCCACATTCAACGTTCCATGAAAAACTCCAAAAGCGCTAGTTCAGGTGTTGCGACAAAACTCAACAATCTATTGAGAGATGTTTCGATACAAAATTTAATTTATGAGCTCACGTGAAGCCTTGCCTAATGCCTGGGCAGCTGCTATCCCAGTTATTTGACCACATCTTTAACACTCAATCAGTCATAATGGTCGAAGAGCTAACCTTGCTTCTATTGGTATTTCAATGAATTTTCATCTGGATTCTCCCTCGCGATGCTGATTTAACCTGAGCGTGCTAGACAAACTCGCTAGGCTTGGTTCCCACTCCAACGCTGCTATAGTATCGCCATGACCAGAAGAAGCTCCATATCGAAAACCCGTGTCACAATCAAGATCAATCAAGATTTGCAAGACGGCATTGTGTTGTCTGCAAGACAATTGCATCCAACCTCCTGCAGGTGCAAGACGGACCTGTACCCTCGATTTAAATGAGCAAGATTAGCCATACTAAATGAATGAATATACAGGGTGGCGCATAGAAAACGAAACAGACGCCTTTACTGGCAGTTCAGTTTTTTTTTTTTGGAAAAACGCTCAGACCCGTCGATTTTGTTTTCGAGGGGGACACGTGCAGCCCCCTGGTATACACATTATTATCAATCACCGCCTGGCATCGTCTCGGCATAGATTGTAGAAGTTTCTTGATATAAGATTCATCAATCTGTCTCCACTCTTGCTCTAAAGCGGCTAAAAGTTCATCCTTGATTGAATAATTTTTATCTCGTATTTGCTTATCTAAGTATTCCCATAGATTTTCAATGGGGTTTATATCGGGAGACTGTGAAGGCCATTTCAGAACTGGTATTTTTCATCGAGAAAGAATTTCTTTGCGAGATTTGAAGTGTGCTTCGGGTCATCATCTTGCTGGAAGATTGATCTTAAGGGCATATTGGCATATTAATTCCATCTATCATTCTATACAGGGTGTCCCAGAAGTCGACGTCAAGCCGAAACCGGGTGATAGGCAAAGTCATAACAGCTATCAGAAAAATATTTAAAAAAAAAATTATGTATGTGTTTTGAAAATTATAGGTCTTTGAAAAAGATATAGAAATTTCACACCCTACGGCAGTCTGTCAACTCCTTTTACTACAAATATTAACTTTTTTGGATTTTATTTTTACAATGTAATGATGAATAATGCATCTTCAAACTGGTGTCTCAACCTTACTGCGAACTTTTCTCGTTCAGGAAAAATTGCCACTTATTTCCCAACCAAGTATTCCAAAGTAAAACTTTACTCAACTTTAACTGGCTGTACTGGAAAAAATGTACTACGAGAGTTTGGCAAGTAACCTTAAAAGTTGGCGCATTTAATAACGATTCCAAAATGGTATAACACTTAAAAGATTACTCGTTAACTTATGCACAATTTTTATTTGAAAAAAAAAACTGATGAAAATTTGTCAAAATTTCCTAATTAAACAGCGATTATGAAAACGCACAAGGACCCTTAAGGATAACTGTTTGCACAACATTGGGCGTCAAAATGCTGCTGATGATGATTTACCTTTACAGCAAATGCTCAAACTGTTTTCCTTCAGCCGCAATACACGCTCGACATCTTCTTAAAAAAGATCGGGTTATTAAACGAGCGAATCCACGGTTATTAACAAAATCAGCTGCTTCCAATAGTCTTTGCCGTAGCTCAGCTACATTTTGAATCGGCTTGAAATACACTTTTTCTTTTACAGTTCCCCAGCAGCAAAAAAAAATCTAAAGGATTCAAATCAGGTGATCGGGCTGGCCACGGTATTGTACCAGACCGCCTTATCCATCTGCCTGGAAAGTTTTGATCGAGATACTCTCTCACTGAGAGTGCATAGTGCGCTGGACAGCCATCATGCTGAAACCACATGTCCCTGTAAATACTCAGTGGCACGTCCACCAATAAATTTTGTACATGATTTTTCAAAAAATCCAAATAAACTTCAGCAGTCAAAGTCTCTGGGAACTCAAATGGACCGATTATTTTACCATTTAAAATTCCTGTCCAATGGTTTATCTTGAAGCGATATTGAGATTTATCTTCTCTCATCAAATGTGGGTTTGCTACGTGCCACTCGTGTAAGTTATGCAGGTTCATGTACCCATCGTTCTTAAATGTGGTCTCATCCGACCATAAATTTTTTTCAAAGAACTGTGGATCTTTCCTGTGACTTTCTAACATTGTGCGACAAAAAGCAACGCGGGGCTCATAATCCCGGGGCAGGAGAGGTTGAACACGCTGTATGTGGTCACTAGATTTGAATCCGTTAGATTTTTTTTTACTGGGGAACTGTAAAAGGAAAAGTGTATTTCAAGCCGATTCAAAATGTAGCTGAGCTACGGCAAAGACTATTGGAAGCAGCTGAGTTTGTTAATAACCGTGGATTCGCTCGTTTAATAACCCGATCTTTTTTAAGAAGATGTCGAGCGTGTATTGCGGCTGAAGGAAAACAGTTTGAGCATTTGCTGTAAAGGTAAATCATCATCAGCAGCATTTTGACGCCCACTGTTGTGCAAACAGTTATCCTTAAGGGTCCTTGTGCGTTTTCATAATCGCTGTTTAATTAGGAAATTTTGAAAAATTTTCATCAGTTTTTTTTCAAATATAAATTGTGCATAAGTTAACGAGTAATCTTCTAAGTGTTATTCCATTTTGGAATCGTTATTGAATGCGCCAACTTTTAAGGTTACTTGCCAAACCCTCGTAGTACATTTTTTTCCAGTACAGCCAGTTAAAGTTGAGCAAAGTTTTACTTTGGAATACTTGGTTGGGAAATAAGTGGCAATTTTTCCTGAACGAGAAAAGTTGGCAGTAAGGTTGAGACACCAGTTTGAAGATGCATTATTCATCATGAAATTGTAAAAATAAAATTCAAAAAAGTTAATATTTGTAGTAACAGGAGTTGACAGACTGCCGTAGGGTGTGAAATTTCTATATCTTTTTCAGACAAGACCTACAATTTTCAAAATACATACATAACATTTTTTTAAATATTTTTCTGATAGCTGTTATGGCTTTGCCTATCACCCGGTTTCGGCTTGACGTCGACTTCTGGGACACCCTGTATAAAGGTCCCATCCCAAACCCTGAAAAGCACCCCCAACCCATAACAGACCCGCCTCCATGTTTGACAGTGGGCAAAGTGTACTTGGGGTTCAATCTTTGTCCACTAGGACGTCTAACCTAATGAACACCATCTGATCCAAATATACTGAACTTGGATTCGTCTCTAAAACATACCCTCTTCCAGTCACAGATGCTCCAATCAAGATGCAACCGTGCAAATTGTAATCGGTCCTTACGGTTTTTCCTCGAGATTAGCGGCTTCCTACTCGGGCGACGTGCAAATAACTTCAAATCATGTAATCTTCTACTTATAGTTTTCGTAGAAACACTGACAATTCCTTTCGTCTCGATTTCGGCTTTAATTTGTCTTGGGGTTCTAAACGGATCTTTGGACGAAATTACTTTTATTAATCTAACTGATCTAGCATTTAGTTTTCTAGGCCGACCACTTCCAAGATACCTTTTTGTTTATATTTGTCCAATATTGCCTAAACTGCTCTACGCTTCAGCTTCAATTTTTTGGCAATGTCGCCTTGACGTTGTCCATCTTTGTATAAGTCAATGATCTTAGTTTTCACATCGAAAGA